AAAAGAATATTTTTCGATTTAACTGATTCTTTGAAAGCTATAGCCATCTACAATACTGCAAAAAGAAAGTTATAGCAACGGTTCGAATCGGCATATATCGCCATTCGTTTTTTTCTCTAAAAGATAATGGGATCAAAAAAGCATGTGAATATAGGTAATGACGTGCGCTTTATTGCATATGCTGTTGAAAAAGTTCGATAACTTTAGATTTGTTTGTGAAAACAAATTTTCTGAAATGTTTTCGCCTCAGGGAAAATGTTTGAGTAATTCTTTAGATCTGTTCGTGTTTTCTTCAAGGGGGAAACAACTGACTCCACTTGACTCCAGTCGTATGGAGTCATCAGGAGTCAAGTGAAGCCCAGAGTCTGCTGTTTGACCCTTGCCCATCCACCTAAGGGGGAAACAATGGGGCCCAGTCGTGTGGAGTCTGCTATTTATCCCTTGTGCACCCACCACTAGGACTGTTACAGTTCCAATTCTAGAGAACTCGTGAAAGGTTCTCTAGGCCCGGAACTGTCACACTGCTGGCAAATAATGAATTGATTACTCATAACTACTCATGTTTAAGGGTTTGGGCGTAGCATTAGCATAATGCCAATGTTTATGGTTCCTAATAACAGAGAAATTGCATTCTGTTGTGGGAATCTAGGCCCAATAACAGGACAATTGTGTTCTGTTGTGAGAATTCAACCCTGATAACAGAACAAAACTGTTCCGTTTTGGGAACCATAAGTACTCATCAATGAGTATTTTTGACTAATAATGAGCAATGGATGAATTGATTGATTCTATGATTCGACCACTTCTTAAAAACTGATACGAATTGTTATATTCCTACATGTGGTTCCACAATTCTATTACATTTTGGAGTCACGTGGAGTCAAGTGGAGTCAATTGATGCAGTAGAGTCTGGAGTCAGTTGTTTCCCCCTTGGTTTTCTTGCCCACGAAATGTTGCTCGAGTGTCTGCTATTCTCGTTAGAAAGCTATGACTGATTGATTGATTGAGTTATATTTTAGTAGCCTCAAGTGGATGATAGATAGTGAAAAAAAGAAACACAAATATACATCTATTACATAAACAAAAACAAAAAAAAAACACGCTACTGGGAAGGTAAAAAAAGTTCTGAGAACCTATAAACTTTGCCACCTTGTTTTAAAACGATTAAAGCTCAAGATAGTTCTTCAGCTTTGGTTGGCCATTTTAATTCAGTGAAAAATCGTGATGAAATCATGCTTGCGGTAGCAAACTTCCGTGGACAGGCCGTATTAGTTTAGCTTTCTTATCTACATGATTCTAATGTATCACTCTCATAATTTTTGGGGCTTTTGTTGTTTGTACTCTAAATCTAAACGAAGAAGCAAGGTAATCAGGGATACACCAGTGGATATTTACTCTCATTTTATGTTTTTCAGCAGCCAATTTTAATTCTATGGTGAGATCATTTGTTGTTCGTAGTAAGGCGCCGCTAAAATCGGAATGAAATTTATTTTTCTTTTAAAGTTACATATTCTGAACCGCCTTGATGCACTGAGTCCGAATCTGATAATATTTTTTCGATTTAAGCGTTTTTTCGCTGAGAAAACTGCCGAACATTGAGTGTTACTCGAAAGTAAAAATTCATCCAGGCACAAAAAACATCGTCTATCTCGGTAATATGACAACCTAGAATTTTTTTGACGTGATATTCTGAATCCCTGTGTAAAACTGGGTATAGACATTATATTTAAATATAATGTCTATACCCAGTTTTACACAGGGATTCAGAATATCACGTCAAAAAAATTCTAGGATGTCATATTACCGAGATAGACGATGTTTTTTGTGCCTGGATGAATTTTTACTTTCGAGTAACACTCAATATTCGGCAGTTTTCTCAGCGAAAAAACGCTTAAATCGAAAAAATATTATCAGATTCGGACTCAGCGCATCAAGGCGGTTCAGAATATGTAACTTTAAAAGAAAAATAAATTTCATTCCGATTTTAGCGGCGCCTTACGTAGTGTGACAAAACTGAAAGTGACTATCTATAATCATATTTTTGGATAATTGTGATATACCATGGCTTGATTGATAATCAATTCAGCTTGATTGATGATCAATAATACTAGTTTATTGTCGTTTAATCTGAATAAATTGAAACGATCATCATACAAAACGTTTAAATTAACCTCTTTGTCTGCAGCTTTGGCAGCTAGTAATACATTCATACTAGCATATAAATATCCGTCAACATTAAAACAATATAATATTAATGAAGAATTAAAAGAAGTTCAATTACCACAAGGCATACATATTTTCGATATTTGTTATTTAATTAATTTAAATTCATTTGGGTTATTAGCATAACAAAAACCTATAATCATTTAGTATTAACGTATCTACCCTGGATATCGATTCTTATATAAGAATCTTACCAGTATCTTACAAGATTCTCATCGGAATCTTATCAGTTTCTTATATAAGATTTGTTTAATTCTCCCATTTGTTTAAGATTTCCCATCGACAGTCGTAAGTGTCTTATTAAAATCGTCTAAGATTTTCATAAGAGGTTCGTAAGAAATTCATAAGAAGTACCAGAAATTTTTATGAAGTTTTCCAGCCAATAGCAACTTAATTATAATAGAAATCAGCAGAACCAACTCATAAGCTGCCTTCTAGTAAATAAGAATAACATAAGAATTTTTGATACTTCTTATGAATTTCTTACGAATCTCTTATGAAAATCTTATAAGATTCTAATAAGATATTTACGACTGTTGATGGAAAATCTTAAACAATCTTACGCTTAAAACTGATCAGTTTTATCAAAAAACAATTTGTCTACGGTAATAGAATATGGTAACGATGTGTATCTTCTCTATAGTTCTAATTCTTTAGATGAAGACCAGGATCTTCCTAAACATGCGATCGAAGGTAGAGCATTATTGTCATGGAATGGATGAAAAACTGGACATAAACTGATATAAATGTGGATTATTCATCTGCGATTAACTGTATACGAGCAACATCGACTTATTTAGAATTATCTGTTCATTCAAATAAGCATATTTGGAGGTTATGTTTATTTAACCGAACAACCATGCAACATATGCATATTATTAAAATTGACCAACGCATCGATACTGGTATTGTTTGTATGTTTAGTGCGCTAACGGAAAGAAAATGGGTAATAATGGCATAAATCAAAATTAAAATCACCTTTTTACATGTTGAAATGACCATTTCAACATGTAAAAAGGTGATTTTAATTTTGATTTATGCCATAAAATTTTTCACTTTAAACAAAGAATCAATGGATAATAATGAATGCGCGATTTGACAAAATTACATTGGTTAATGATGGTCACACAGTATCATACATAGAAAAAATTGGTTCGAATGGCAGTTTAATTGGGGCTAATATTTGGGGCTAAATATTTTTGTGCTACGCACGGCAGATGAATTAAAAATTTATGATATACAATAAATTAACGTGAACAACTTTATATTACAAACAAATTAACAAACTTTCTGCTTTGTGATCTACACTTAACGAGTGTGATATCCTATGCTTCAGTTACATTTAAAGATGATGAGAGTGAGACCATTTGTCTTATTGCTATTATGTGGGGAAAATTCTTATTTATATTTAAGCGCAAATTCAAAATAAAATTCGTGATTAAATGATTTAGAGAACATTCCTACGCGTTAAAATTATCTCTCAAGCATGGGTAGCATGGATAGATCAACGCCTGTTCTGAATTTCTTTCTTCAGTTTCCATAGCTCTTAAACTATCGAACATCGAGAGGTATGGGAATCTTTTTGCTTATGAAGACTTCCAAAGTTGGAATCTTTGACACATGGCTTATTCTTTTATAGATCCCATAGAAAACTTGTTTTGAAAAACCTGAGAATTTTTTTGATTATAAATTCAATTAGCAAATTTTCATCGAACACTGGCGCAGGTGCAGAAAGAATTCGTGGACACGAGCACTAGAGGATTATTTCTAAAATTTGAAGGAAAGTTTTTTTATTAACAAAATCATACTACGTTTGCAGGCAAACTGAATAATCACTAAATTGTTCTTTGCTTATCAGGCTGTAAAAAACGATCAACACCTAGGTGTTTTTTGCCAAATCCTTTTTATGATAAATTGAAGATTTATCAGTGCCATTTACAGTTGGATAGAAAAAGCGAAGAAGACATTCGTTTATATACTGGAGGAAGCGAGATCACGCCATACATATAGAAGACTATTCTAGAGGAAAGAAGAAGAGAAAGATTAGTATACCGGTGGTCACCTCGATAACACCTCCCACATTCGAAGACGAACGTAGTAACGACCATTATCAACACAAAAAAATTTTTGTATTGATAATGGCCGTTACTAGTCGAATTCTACAGAAAATTATAATTAAAATAAAAAGGTAAAGTCGGAAATAGCTGTAGTTAATACGTCAGATTGGATTTTAAAATTGTTGCCGTTTACGGATATTGAATTGATATTTTGAACGTGGTTTAAATTCCATTTATTTGAAGTAAAATTGATGTCTTTATTTAATTTTGAGGTTCAAAAATTGGTTTCATTATATTTACATGCACTTGTTTGACATAATCCGAATGTTCTAGTTGAATTTCATATGTTACGGGTCCAAGCACATTAATTACACGATATGGTCCTTGAAATATTTCTTGCATTTTATTATTTCTTACTGCTGGTTTGGCTAATACTAGTTGATCGATTTCATATTGAATGTTCTGACGATGTTGATCGTAACGTTGCTTTGTCGGTTGTTAGTGTTGACAAATATTTTCCAGCGTTTGATGAATGATAAATAAACAATAGCCACGACAGTGATTATAATAATCATTTGATCTTGTAAATTGCACTATCGACTGAGGTTTATCAAATAGTAAAATAAAGTCTTTCCCATATAATAGTTGGTATGGTGAATATTTTGTTGTTCAATGTTGTCTGGTGTTGTAAGCGTAAATAATTGGTAGTAAATATTCATTCTAATTATTCAAATTTAAATCTTGTAATTTACATAATTGTGGTTTGATAGTTGTGTTAAATCTCTCAACAATTCCGTTTGTTTGCGGATGGTATGCTGTTGAGAAAATGGGGTTAATTTCAATGTCATTTGTAATCGCTTGCATTAATTCGTTGTTAAAATGTAAACCTTGATCAGTAAGAATTTGTTCCGGAATATGGTCATATTTAAATATAACATCTTCGACAAGAAGTTTAGCTGCTTCAGATGCTGTTGCTATTGGTACAGCTTTAGCAACAACAAATTTTGATAACTGATCTGTAAAGGTGATGATGTATCGATTGCCATTACTAGTAGCATCACGTGTCCAATCAGCTCGAATACTTCACTTGGTGGTTCTGATGTTTGTAATAACCCTGGTAGTTTTCGTCGCGGAATGTTGTGTTGAGTATATAATAAGCATGAGTATGTGCTGAATATAATAAACCTTTGATCATAGATTTTGGTATCCATAGAATTTTCCTTTTTTGTTCTTCCTGAATATATATCAATGAATTTGCAGAGAATGCCGTGTTCAACCACAAATGATGAATGGTTATTTAGATATTGTTGTATTTCACTAATTCGTTGTTTAACAATTGGATCAATTACTTCCTTACAAAAAAATATTTTATCGGCACTGGTTGTGCACGGATGCGCACCGTTGCCGAAGACTTTTTCTTCTGGGCATCGATACGCATCGGTGACAGAAAGCATGTAAAAATCTTGCACTGACGCGCACCAGTGCCAAAATTGTCAGCCAAAATTTTCAATCACCATTTTGTTTTGTCAATTTCTGTGTATATTAACGCCATCGTATACTTCTAATATTTTGAATGCTCTTTCTGACTTCATCTTTTCCTTCTCATAAGAGAAGCGCCGAGGCAATGCCGCTTGGTTTCGGCATGTCAGTGTAGTACTGATCAATGCCGTACTCTAATTTAAAATTCAGTATAAACAACCATAATAAAAACCTAATTACCAGTGTGGCACTTGTTTGGCAGAGTTATATCAGCACTGGTACGCACGGGTGCCAATCGGCACTGGTTTGGCACTTGCTGGGCACAGGTACGCACTTTTACCAGTGCCGCACTTGAATTTTTTTTATAGGGTAGTTTTTGTGTTATTTTGGTAGAATCAAATCCAGGTAATGATGAATGGAGTATCAGGTTCAATTAACGTTGCTGTCGGTTGAAGTATTGTTGATGTTATTGTTGGAGAACATGACAGGCGGTTAATCTTTTATTGCTCATAATGGGATATACTCTTGATCTAATCGCTTTCCACACCGACCGTCTTTTTTTATTTCTTCCTTTTCGGTGCACACATATATTGAAACACAATTCTTTTCTCATGCGTCGACAATACATAAATATACGTGCTTTGTATTTAACGGGGAATTAGGAATCTATTTACGTCTCTTAAAAAGATATATGTGTCTCTTCGATCAGCTGGAGGAAACAAAAGACCCTACTAGGAACGTTAGAAAGGGGGATAAAAGAAGAAGAAGAAAAATATTCAGCTCTCAAATAATTAAAATTTATCATTTTCTTACACATTAACAATTAAAATTTTTGATACTCTGATCGGGATATAGATTTTTTTGATATCTCAATCGGAATATAAAAAGAATTTTGCTGTAAAACGTGATATATCGATCGGGATATGTCTCCACACTATTGGTAAAGTTCTTGATAAACAATCAGCATCCAGATATCCAGATGACACAAGCCACTTTCATGTTTAATGTCAAATTCATATTCTTGTAATACTAATGACCAACCATAGAGTTTTTCATTTCCAGAGTTGTGTTTGTTGAGCCAGCATAATGGATGATGGTCTGTAATAACAGTAAACTGTGTGCCATATAAATAAATTCGTAATTTCTTCACTGCCCAAACAATTGCCCAACATTCTTGTTCCGTAACCCCATTTTCGTTCGATTTTATTTAGATTTTGAGATAAATATACAATTACATGTTCATTTTTGCCAACTTTCTGTTTCAATATTACACCAATACCATTTTGGGATGATACATCTGCTGCCATAATTAACGGAACATTTGGCAATGGATGTATCAAATGCTAGTTGTTGTTCAGCTTTACAGACAAATTTCCCTTTTTTGGTTTGAAATCTCTCCAACGGATATGCAATTTTAGCAAAAAATCAACAAATGATGAATAATTGTTAGCCATGCCATAAACTTGATTTGCTGCTTCATATATTGTTGGTGTTCGAATATCAATAACTTTTAACGACTTTTACAAGCACAAACGATGATATCAACGGACTTTAGCCTGAATTTTCTAATATTCTTGAAATTCGATCTATCTTCTATAAATAATTCACAAGATTCTTGAAATTTCACATCGAATTTCTAAAATGTTGGAAAATCGGCTTCGAATTTCAAGAATATTGGGAATTATTTATAGAAAATCGACTTCGAATCTAGAAAATCCTCAGCGTATTTATAGATGGACTTTTTGAAACTCATCGAGCATTTTCTATAAATAATTTCAGACATTACAGTGTACAAACTTTTGACGACTTTTACAAGCACAAACGATGATATCAACAGACTTTAGTCTAGATTATATGATTCCTGCTTATAATGCAGAAAGTTCCTTGATTAGTTGCCCTTAACGATATTTTTGGCCAAGGCCAACACCTTGAAAAGTTCAATAAACATCTCAACTGTAGCAGCGATCAATATTATTTCATACTGATGATCTGCCGGCTTTATCAGCACAAGAACAAAACCAAAACGATACAATAGAAGTAGAACTACTGTACTCGCTGTTTTTTACCTGATTGAATAACTGCTAACAGTTCTTCTTATGACAATAGATGCTTGTGTATACCTCGACATGTGAATGATGAATCCGTATGTGTAGAGCAAAACAATAATTAAAATTTT